CTCTCTCTCTCTCTCTCTCTCTCTCTCTCTCGACTTTTCCGCTTTCTTGGGTGTGTCTGCGAGGCAATAATGTATTCTTGTTTATTTTGAAATGAAAAAAAAGGAGGGGGATGGAGGAAGATTCAGATTAGATACAGACGTGGCACATGTAACCAGGTCGATAATCAGTTTGCGCCTACGACCCTGCGCAGAACATGATAATTTAAAAAATAATTACATAAAAAAAAAGATGGCCACATTGTCGGTCTAATCAAGAGCAGCAGGGCGGATAGAAGTCACCTCGGTTCGTTACAATAATTTTCACTGTGCCCCAAATCTAAACAGTTCCCAAGCTGTACTGAAAGACGAGCGATGCAGGCCGAAGTTTGTACATTATTGGAACTCGGATTCAACAAAGTCGTCGGGGCTGACCTTCGATTTAGTTGAATCAGAGTGTTCGTTACAGCAAACGATGGTGGGTTTGGTAGATAATTACAGGCATCGAGCAAGTAATGTACAGTGTAACGGACATTACTAAGAAGTGGTAGCAGGCTACCCTTAAATGCTTGCTTTTTTTCTCTCCCCCGTTTCGTCTTTCTCCGTCAAAAGTAGATTCTAATCGAGAGGATCTTTCGTTTCTTTGATGCCATACCGAAGACATGCTGGAAAATTCCATGAAAATAGGGGGTGGGGTTAGAAAAAAAAGGGGGGCAATACAACCTCATACCCCGGCTGTACTACATGTGGGAACAATTTAAATCTGTTTTATTTTTTTCTTCAGTGAATACGATAACAAGAGATCACAACATTTTAGGGATTTTAGTATGTTACTGTGACAACCTTTTCCATTAAGGAACAAGCCAGTTTCATTAAAAAAATATAAACCAACGAAGGCCTAGGCCTACAAAAGTTTTAAAATTAATAAAATGCATAGAAAACTGAGGTTGCCAACCTGGTACCGGTACTAGGCCTAATACTGAGGGTAATTTTCCATAAACAAAAACAAACCAAAAAAGAAGTGTCATTCATTCAGATATAGATCTAGATCTAATCTAGATTCTAGCCTAAATTCTAGATTAGATATATTTTTCACATGATCGTCGGTCGTGGCAAGCTGGAAAATAATAAAGGGGGAGCAAAAAAAAAATCTAAAAATTAATGAGCGGTCTGCCTGACTGCCCACACAACATAACATGAACTGGGCAAAAGAAGGGAAACGAAACGAAACAAAATTAGGCTAGTTAAGGGGGCTGCCTCTTGCCCGGCTACAACAAACAACAACAAAACAAGGCCAAGGCTAGGATCTTGGCTATCCATCGTCAGTGTCAGTGTCACTGTTGCAAAACAACTAGGCCTAACCTGAAGGATAGAATAGGCAACGTAGCCTAGGCACTTTTTAAAAACGCCTAGTCATTCTCAGTGACCAGCTTTGCGATTTAGTTTGCAATTACATATTAGGCCTAGACTCTACGATTTGGGAGTTTTATTGTAATTGTGCCGTGCCGTAGCCCAGTCGAGCAGCGAGCCTAGACTAGATCTAGGCCTAGAAATCTAGATCTAGCAGGGTACAGTATATAGTGAGGTGTGTCAGTGTCAGGTGCCACGATAAAGTAGGCTAGCCTTGCGCTTGGTGGAGACTTGGCCTTCAACTTTAACATTAGATCTATCTAGATCTAGATCTAGATTATATAATATAATCGCTTTTATCGGACTTCTCGGCGTACTGCGTTCCCAGGCTCAGGAAGGTTCTGATCTGATTTAGATTCTAGATCCTAGATCTAGATCTAGAAATCTAGAGGTGTCCGGAGCAGAGGCCAAACTTTTCCAAGTTAAATTTTTTTTGTCTTCAATCTTGAGCTTCATGATACTAGCCTAATCATCCTAATCATGAGATCTATACTCTAGATCTAGGCTTCGACCTTTCTCTATCTAGATCTAGATCTCTAGATTTCTATACTGGATCTATACTAATACCATAGGAGGCCAAGATATCGCCATGCCTTTAGCAGCAAAAACGATCTTGGTGACCGGAGCGTCAAGAGGATTGGGTCTGGAATTTGTGAGACAAATTCTACAATTGCCTCTGCAGCACCTGAAGTACTCATTGCAGCCTGTCGTAATCCCAGTTCTGCATACGATCTTCAGAATCTGGCGAAAGCACATCCATCAGTGAAAGTGATCAAATTAGATGTGGAAAAAGATGAAGACATAATTTCTGCTGCCCAGGTTTGTAATTTAGTACAGAGATCTAGATCTAGATCTAGACTATAATTTTTAACCCTATCCGTACGTCATGTTTTACTATCGTATCCATACGACGTGGGTAGCTCTGTGCCACCACTTTCCAAAGAGGAAATTTTTAATACTCGTTAATCTGATCCGTACGCTTTGCATTGTAGTCTGTCAAAATGAGAATATCTGAAAGTTTCAAAGAGATCTTCGTACTAGAAGTATTCTAAAACGGACTGTCTTCATACACAGTAACCAGGCACCTAGTCTCAGTCTACTCGGTAACCGGGCGCCCAGTCTCACCTTGTCTCAGTATCCACGTACATGGTAACCTGGCGTCTCAATATCTACGTACACACGGTAACCGGAATGAAAATTTAAAATCAGTATATATTTGTCCTGTGCTGTCACTTGCTGAAAAAAAAAAGAAAGTCATTCAAGCGTCTTGTCGGGCTCGCCTTTGTGACCAGTCAGTGAACCTGCGTGTGTGCATCACATTGTGAGTACCGGTTGGGGTCACCAAAGTTCATTCAAAGTTTGTGCGCTGTGAAGTATAGGGCTCCAGAATGGGGGGAGATTATTGATTTTTTTTAAAGGTGCAGTCGGGGTAGGGGTGGGGATGAAGGCAACACCGGGTGACAAAAACTGAACTTGGAGTTCTGAACTGGCCGCAGTGTACATGACACTGAGACTACATGCCCGGTTACCGAGTACGTAGATATTGTGAGGCTACATGCCCGGTTACCGTTTACATGACACTGACACTACGTGCCCGGTTGCCGGTTACCGTGTACGCAGACACTGAGGCTGGGTGCCCGGTTACAGTGTACGTAGAGTAGGATTCTAAAATTAAAATGTGAAGAACACAACCATAGCAGTACAAAATGACCCCAGGGCGTACGGATAGGGTTAAAAAAGCCAGGCTTAGCATTTCTCTGTCTGATACTGTCAGGATAATATGGCCAGCTCTATTCAGACTTAAGTCCGATTAGATTTTTTAATCTATTCGGACTCGACTCCGATGGGTTGTTTTATCTATTCGGACTGGGGTCCGAAAAAAACATATTTTACTTTCGGATTCAGCTTCTAAGTGAGTCATATGAGTTTAAGGAGGTTACATAATATAACTGTTGTTGGGGGATTTTACGTATAACCAGAATTAGAACTAGAATAAGAATTACCTACTGGGACTCTGTGTAATTGTGTCAAAAGTCAAAACACTGCACTCTCATTGCCCAATGGCAGCGTCTAAGTACATGGTAACCGACAACTCAGGGTCTTTCCACTACCACTACAGCATCATCATTACTTCCATCACCATTTTTCTTTCCACACATATAATTTCATTTTGTTGTGCCTTATAGTTTTTCTGTAATTGATTTTTTAAGAAGTCACATCGCACAAAATGGACAGCCGTGGCCTCTTCCCAACACCTCTTCCCCCAGCAAGCCGAGAGTGCGTGATCGCTATGCGCAGTCTCATCGGTCGACATAATTAACTTTGTCCTCGGCAAGGTCAACTCAACTTGGTTGTTCTGTTCGTACTAAAGATGCAAGGAGGGCCAGTTTAGATAGATCTAGTAAATGGATATTTTAAAGTCACATCTTGACTGTTATCATTAGGCCTATAATCGAAAATTTTTTCATAAATGCTGAAAATACAGTAGAACACGGCTATAGCGGGACTTTTGGTTCCAGAAGAAAACCCCCGCTGTAGGAGAGTTCCCGCTATAGGTTTCGGAACGCAAAGAAAAAATTCTAAGAATCCATATGATTACCTCCCTTCCCTATCAATAAAATTTGCGCTTCAGATTACTCTTCTTTTTCTTGTCAGCTTCGTTGATTATCTCGGCCTTTAATTCGAGTGAGAAGTAGAGCTGGGTTTTCTTCAAATTTTTGGTGAATTGCGAGCGCGAGCTGCTCGCTCCCAGTGAGTTGCGAGCAGGCTTGAGGCTTGCACCCTGTGACGTCAGCACCATGTGACATCAGTGACATCACATACTGTTTCGCGCCAAAGGCCGACAGTGTTACTGTTCCTTCTTTCTTTAATTTTTTTTTCCTACACCCCTTTAAAAAGAAGCCTCTCTCTCTCTTTCTCTCTCTCTCTCTCACCCACACACTCACACACACACACACACACTCGCACACACACACACACACACACATACTCACACACACACCCACACACACACACACAGATAAACAGAAGTAAGTCAAGAAATTAGGAAAGTCAAGCACACAACATTTATCAACACACTCTAAAGTCCAAAACCAATCATACTAGTCTAGTATGAGCGGCCCTTATCACATGTGCCACTACAGCCCGATCGTGTTAGCTTCGATTTAAAACTAGCGCTATCAACAGCGGAGGTTAGAAATAGCCACCCCAACAGTTTGCTGTCTACACTTACTGCTCACATAGTACATTACAACGTGTTGCCTCCTTTGACTGGCTACACTACCTGTGTTTTCCCATTCATAAATTAATACACTACCCCTCCGCTCATCACGCGCGCTGTCACCGAGTGCACACCCAGCCCACACCCATCCCCAGTAGACAGACCGACACCCCTTAGCCCCGACCCCCTTTTTACCACGCAGCATCTCAATGACTGAACGACAGACTAGCCTACCTAACACTATAATCTTTCACCCTTGGCTTAGAGACTCTCATCTATTCATAGCGCCATCAATGGCCTATAAACTGAGTTGAAGCAATGGGCCTATATACAGGAACAACTCTGAATCGATTCACTGAGTTGCGAGCAGGCCTGCTCGCACCCACGGCACCATATATGGTATCAACTCCTGAATTGATTCACTGAGTTGCCTGCTCGCACCAATCGCACTAAATAATAGTATTAATAGTATCAACTCTTGAATAGATTCACTGAGTTGCGAGCAGGCAAGTGAGTTGCTCTGGGGTGGATCTCAGGTGTTGCCGCTCGCTACTCGCTGACAGGCTTTTGACTTGCAAGTCTACTGCTGGCTGTATTTTGTCTTGGCATCATAAACTGGCGTTTTAACAATTAAGATTCAGATTCATAGTAGAGATTCTTTGCTGCAACTCTGAATCACGGAATGGCACTGAGTTGAACTGAGTTGCTCAAGTGAGTTGGAAGTTGATTCCCGGAAGTGGGAGTTGCGAGCAGTTCGTCTTGCTGCTTGTGCTGTCTATCGTACTGGTAGGCCTACTGCAGAACTGGTGAAGCGGATGCGTGCGTATGCCTATGAGCATCGACAATTGCAATTCAGTGAATCAGAAATCACTCGCACACTACACGCTCCCCTCTTCTTTTACTTTTTGGCCTAGCCTAGGCCTAGGGCTATGGCCTAGATGCTCTCATACTGAGCGTCTAAGCTACGGCACATCACTATTGGAGTGGCTCACGTAACGCGTCTCTCCGCACCATCTCTCTCTGCCGCCTGCCCCACCTCACTCATCACTGGACTAGCCAATCACAACGCCGCACCACTGAATGCCTGTTTTGAGCCCGCCTGCAGCCCCTCAACCCCGTTCGCCCCTAGATAAAGCTCGTTTGATCTCTCCCACTGTATCCGAGTTCGGGCCTTTCCTTGCCCCGCTAAACCCGAGCACAGGCAATTGAGTTTACATAGTCAAAAAAAAGGGGGATTCCGTTAAGGTCCTGCTGTAGCGGGTGCCGCTATAGTCATGTTCTGCTGTATTAAAGAACAAGGGTCGGAAGTCAGAAGGGACGTCATGCTGGATTCAGATTCAGAGCCCGAATCTAATTTTTGTCTATTCGGACTCGAGTCCGAATATTCACTTCAATACTTTTGCTTTACTTTTTCATCCTCTGTTGCCGTTAAGCGTCGTGGGGAGATGCAGTTTTCAATGGTAGGCCAGCTCCGCAGCTCTGTCAGTTGTGATGTTATGTTTTCTTAGGGTTTCCTTGACACCCTGGATCCACCTTTTGCGTGGCCTTCCTCTTTCTTTATACTATAGCCAGAGTGCTTTGTGTTGTAAGCTCTCGAGGCTGGCTGGTCAGGTGACATGCGTAACAGGTGGCCAAACCATTTTATCCTCTGTCTTTCTATGTAATGCAGGCAGGACTCAGTGCCGATAGCTGCCCTTACTTCTTCATTTGTCTGCCTGTCTCGTCTTGTGATGTAAAGGGTTTTGCGGAGACATTTCATTTCGCGTGCGGTGATTTTGCCCTTATTGGCTTTTAAAAAATTTAATATCTATATACACTTCAATATAATATCTGTATACTATGTTAGTGCAAGGGCTACTACTAACAGTTCAAAGTTTAATTTAATTTTACTTTTTAACTTTACTTTGAGGATTATAGGTCTAGTGTGAGTTACTGAAAAGATTGAAAAAATATGGTGCTTTTGTAGTTTCTTAGTATGTAAGGGTAGGCCGAGTTGGTTTGCTGTTTACTAGACTGGTTTCTCTCTAATTTGAACCCTCAAACTTAGATTAAACTGTCTTTGCCTATGGGTTAATACTAATTATGCAAGTGAAGTTTAATTTTTTAACATTTTGATTTTGGAATCCACTTGGACAGACTTTTGCTCCTGTACAAGACCTACTGTATGGCATTTCATTAGCATCTATCTGGAATTAGATAAATAACTTCTTTCAAATTGCTTCATTTTCACTACACACCTTTTTAAATTCTCACCGTGTGGTGAGGGCACAATTTTTACTAAGGCTTGGACAGAACTTTATGCTTTCGAATTATTGTCTGTCTAGAAAGCACTTGTTTCTTCGAAAATGTTAGAATTCGAAATTTTGTTGCTATTTAAACTATTTTGGCATTATAATACCTGTAGGTTATTATTTGGTTGACCATCGCTTCAGCAGCTTTTTTCATATATGATATATCTAGGGGGGAAAACTTGTTCCTTTGAAAGGGAATTTGTGAAGGTAAGAGAAACATAATTTCAAAGTAATCTGTTCTTTTGTTTTATCTGAAGGAAACAAAAAACATTGTTGGAGAGCGAGGACTGAATCTTTTGATCAACAACGCTGGTATCTATGATAAAACTGATGGCTCTGAACTTAAAACCCAGTCCCGGGAGAATATGCAGCGACATTTCGATGTCAATTGTTCTGGTGAGTTTCCAGACTTGATTAAGCTCTGTGTATTATGATCTTTATTTCAGGGAATCTGTTTGCCTTGTATAATTCAGTCTATCACTCCAGTGCTTGTCAAATTTGAAGAAGCAAAAATTCTTGTACAGGGTGCTTACATGTACAGTCAAAGTTGCTTAAGGTGGCCACCCATTGTTGTGAAGAAGAGAGACCGCCTTAGGCAGTCTTACACAGTGTCAAAATTATTAAGTTAAAGAAAACCGGAAGGGGGAAATACGAAGTGGCGATTTGTACTGGTGATTTGTCTTATAACATATGTGGCTAATAGTACAGGTTCTACTGTAATTTCCTAGTGAGACATAAACATTTATTAAAAAATACCTGTCCCTCTTCTGGGTAATCCCCATACACTAAGAATGATCAAATGATGTACTATTCAGTGATATTGTCCAGATTGGCAAGCACTGTTTTATATTATGAATATTGTATAATTTATTGGTTGAGAATTGTAGCCATGTAGTTGCTTTATTTCTCAGATGCATTTTTATATACTATGGCAGGGTTGTAAAAATGAACAAGGAAAAACTAGTACTACATCACTGAAGAAGGCTAGTGATGATGACTGCAACCAAATTACCTCGTGAGGGCTACAAAATCCGACGGTAGCAATCCAAAGAATGGAAGGAAATGTTTAAAAATGGGAACACAGAGTGTAAGAACCCTCTACAAACCAGGGAATTTAGGAATGTATTAAAAGAAGCGAGCTTGATACAGACTTTGTTGCTGTAGGAATATCAGAGACGAGATGGACTGAAGAAGATGTAAAAAAAGTAAAGTTGTTCCGCATCCGGGCCGGACATTATTGATTGCCTTGTTAGTGAGACAATTGTCTTGGCCTTCGGCATATTGTGGTAGGGTGGCCAGTTTCTTTCTACGCCGCCTTTACTTCCCCAACTCGAGTCAGGTACCCGTTACTGCTGGGTGGGCAGGAGAGGGGCGAAAAAAATCTGTGTCCGAACCAAGGCTCGAACCTGGACTTTCCACTTTCCTGGAGACGAGTGCACTAACTGCTCAACCACTTCACCCTCGAAGAAGGTGTACTAAAGAAAAATAGCATCATCATTATGCGACATTCTGATAGCAGTCAAGGCATACCTGGAGTAGGGATATTGGGACCACAGAAAACAAAAAGTTTGAGAAACGGATTATAGGGTCATGGCCAGTGAGCGGGTGAAACATCCTACAGAAAATGCAATAAAAACCACTTAACTTGGCAATACTCCAGACATACCCCCCCAACCTTCACATACGAAGATGAAAAGACAGAAGATTGTGAAGAAGTAGATAAGATCCTGAAAGAAGCAAGATCAAATGAAGTAGTTGTCATTTATTAGGAGACCTGAATTCTAAAGTGGGAAAGGGACAATGCCAAGACATCACTGGCAACTATGGATTTGGAGATGGAAACAAAAGAGGTGAAGGACTCCTTAACTTTTCTGAGGAGAAGAATCTAATAATTCTAATGATAGCAAACACCTTCTTTGAAATTCCAGCGGGAAGACTATAAACCTGGAAAAGCCCTGGAGATGTTGGCAGACATCAACTGGATTACATCATGATAAGAAAAAGATTAAAAATCAGCATTAAACAATATAAAAAACATACCCAGGAGATGACATAAACTCTGACCTCAACTCTTTCATTGCAAAAGTTACCATAAATTAAGCTGAAGAATTAAAAGAAAAAGGCCGATAAGAAAACAAACATACACATTGACAGGGGGGAAATAATGAGATTGAAAATAGAAGAAGAAAGAAGAAAGTGGAGTTTCTGCCTGTTTGTAAAATAAACTTTCTTGGAGATGGCCCACTCTTTCTCGGCACCATTGATATAACATTGATTATTATTGTGTCATATTATTGAATTTGATTGAGCAGGTTTGTGTGAATAATATATAATATAATTATTATAACATCTTGCCTGCAAGCTTCCTTTTATTCTCTACTCTGAAAGTTTTTTTACCCATTCTAATTCTTTTGAATTTAATGTAAAAAAACAACAACATAACCTTTGTACTTTGTGTTGTCCAGGCCCCATCATCATGGCACAGAAGTTCCTGCCTCTCCTAGAGCAAGCCGCAGCTCAGAACAAGTCTCAGCCCATGAGTAGTAACAAAGCTGCCCTCATCAATATTTCTTCCATCATGGCATCTCAAAATGTGACTTACGAAAGTGGAAGAGGGACTTCCTTTCATTACAAGTGAGTTTCCATTGTTTTTTAAATGCTCAGAATTTCAATATTTTCAACTTTATCATACCCCCTCCTTCTCCTCCTTTGCACCTTGGGGTGGCTTCTTCTCTGGAAATTTGAAATTATTGGCTGTTGATAGATATTAGTGTTATCTGAATTTGAACTGAATCATTAGAGTAACTTGACCGCTTGCGGCCATGAGCGAACATTCCCCCCTAGCTAGCACTGCTTCTGCACTAAAAGATTCCCAACTTGATTTTCGTGGAGAAAAAAGCTGCAGGAAGGGCCCTGACCTGGCCGGGAATTTAAAGACTTCAAGTATAGAGTGCAGTGGGTGTTTTCTGCACAACTTCGGCGTACCACTTGGCGGCCGGCAGCCCTGGGTGCGGCCGATGACGAGCCAACGATGCGGCCACCTGACTCAGGTACGGCCGAATCCATGCCCGTTATGCGGCCAGACCTTAAACAAGCTTCAAACACTTGAAAACATGACAAACAATGAAGGAAATCAATAACAAACGCATAAGGTGTAATTTGAAATATGGTAGGCCTACATTCAACTTTAATGAGATTCAGCAGACTCTTGATCAGAGCATGCAAACGAAATGGAAATCAGTAACACAGAATGGAAACGGGGACGTTCAAAATTAAAGAATGGTACATACAAATTAAATGAGATTCAATCTAATTTTGATCAGAACATACTAACAAAATGGAAATCAATGACAGCGTAGATCTATGCAAAAAAGTGGAAGGATGGTAGATCTAGGTCTAGATTACGTCTGCTCTTGAAAAGAGCAGAACGGACAAGTCTCACATCTCTGGCCTCAAGGTACGATCTCCGCCGTCATTCAGACCAGGTGAATCCCCACTCTCATTCACAGTGTCTGGCCTTCCTTCCGCTTCAGCCAATGCTGGCATTTCGTTTCCAGTTCCGACCATGTTGCTGTCCTCCACCTCTTCTTCATTCATCTCACGCATAGCATATTATTCTTTTTCTACTCCAACCACTGGTCTTTTGTTCCCATTTCCGTCACTCTCAAGCATGTCTTCTCTTTCTGTTTCTTCTGCTTCAACCACTTGTCTTTTGTTTGCTATACTTTCATTGTCAGCAGCAACACTGTTTCTATTTCTCTCCGTCTGTGGTCCGACTCTTGATCCTTCATCAAGTTCAAGCGTTTCATTGTCCATGTGTCATCTCTGTGGAGTTTCATGTCCTTCCACAACCCCCACTTCAGCAAACATGGATTCCTCAGTCGAACATTCTTCTTCCATGAAATCTTCCAACTGCAGGTCTTCTTCATCAAACATCATATCACTTTCATTGATATCTGCACTTGTGTCATAGTCTGAATTGCTCAACCTCTTCTTGGATTTGTTTCCTTTCACTTAGGACTTCTTTTCTTTTGCTTCTTCTTATTCTCCGTCCCCTTCTCCTTGGCTAGTCTCCTCTCTTCTTGTATCTTCTTTCTACTTTCTTTCTCCACTTTGCTTCTTTAGCTCCTCTCGCTGTTTTTCTCTTTCATTTCCCGTCTTCCATTTCTCCTCTTCCATTTTGGCTCTACTCTGTCCACTTTTCTCATTTCCATCGATCTCTGCTTTACTTCTGATCTTTCTCTCCTTGTTGATTAGAGAATCAATGAATTCTTGTCCACTGATGAGCGATGGACGGTTTTCCAGCGATGTCTATCTCTTGCCGCCATTATTCCTGCGTTGCAAAGTAGGAAGAACGAAGGAATCTTTCCGTCTCAGATTGACTTGGCATATCCCCATCCCTTCACTGACTGCTTGTTTACACATTGTCTAAACCTTCTTTTGTCCCCTTCAGATTCCCACTCATTTTGAGACTTGCTTGGGAAAACACATTTTTTGGATAGATTAGAGTTCACTTCATGCCACACTTGAGTTTTTGTTTGAGTTGGCCTTTAACGTCTCTAATTAAAACCAGTAGGCTAGGTCATTTAGGCAAATTAACATCCTGTTACACTGGGATATGAAATGTAACAGAACTTATTATCCCATCTAGCCACAGTGTACTAACACCGGGTCAACCCGTCATAGCACTCGTCCCATAATCCTGACGCCAGGTGGGACAGCTACTAGATCTAGATCTAGATTGCCAGTTTTTTTAGTCATAGGTATGACTTGGTCGGGAATTGAACCCACGATCTTCCATTCCCGTGAAGGACGCCATACCACTAGGCCACTGAGATCGGTGCCATGCTTGAAAATATCGTATTGTATCGTTACCAGTAGATCTAGATCTTGCTTTATTAAGTGGACAAAAAGCTTTGCAAACAGCGTACCTCTATCAAGAACAAGGTCTAGATTGTATCTCAAGACCATAGCCTTCATTTGACCAGGGCTATCTATCATTTTGGACTCTGGCCGCGGCCAGGACCTCTACTGTAAAGCCCGTCCTCGGTGGGCCTCATGAAAAATTACCCTGCCCTGGCTGCGGCCATCGACGTTTCTCCGAAAGTTTACGTTTGAGCGATATTTATACAATGTTAGGCTTAAAAACATGCATTTTAAAACACAGAAACCACACTTAATTGACAAAATAATGATATTATTTAGGTTGTGGTAAGAGCTAATGAAAAACTCACCTGAAATTTCACTAAAGGATGTTTTCTGGGTTGAAAAGTTCAAACTCGCATCACGTGTGTCGGAACAGCGGGAAAGACCGGAAATGAAAGTGAACGCATTGGCAGACCCAAGAGAAGCTACAGTGGTTTATTCAAAGCCTTACAGCAACTGGAATGCGAGTTGTGAGAACTGGCCGCACTCCAGCAGTGGCCGCGAGGGGGTCAAGCTACTCTAATTCAATATTATATTATTTCCAGTTTTAAACAACTGTGTGTGTTGGTTCTATTTCTTGTTCATTGTCGTAGTAAGAAATCACTTCTTTTGAAGTACTGTTACTTTGCACCGATCTCCAAATGTGAGTAACTATTTGAATAACCAGGGTTTTTTTTGCTTACTCATATCTCAATTTATTTATCTTTTATCTTCTTTATTCGGCTTCCACTGTTCAAAGAACTCATGTACACTTCCTGATTCCATTTTGCTTCTAATTTTTAGCTAGATATATTTTATGTAATGATTTTCATAACTGGCCCTTGTCTTACAACATCTTGTAACGCTGGTTTTTACTTTTTTTTACCCATTACCATGAGCAACCAAGTGTGAGATCATGTTTCGTAGGTAAGTGTGCACGTGATGGGATGGCACTTGTGTGTCTGGTCCTTGAAGCTTTTCTTCTAAGTAACGCTTGACCTTCAATTGTTTCTGACTATAGAAAGTTACCAGATGCCATCATAGCTTGTTATACAGCTGATCCCAAGGTTGGCAATATGATGAGGTTTGCCTATTTATATCTATGCTACTATCCAATGGCCATACACTCACAAGTTACGTTTACATTATTTCATGTTCGGGACATCTCATACCACCATAATATCATTTTTTGTGTTCAGTGATTTGATCTTGTTTAACTGTCATTAAACTTTTGAGACCAGGAAATAATTTTTCGTAAAAGTTTACTCCACTCTCATCATATGTCATGAAGCTTCAACCAATGCCAGATAATATTTCAGTATTGCATTATTGTGTGAATATCCTTTTTTGGAAAGAACAAATTAAGATTTTTCTTGTCTGCTTTTTTAAAACTTCAGATGCTCCAAATCTGCGGTGACTATGGCTACTATTTTGATCTCTCGAGAGTTGAGAGCAGCTGGTATTTTGGCATTGTCACTTCACCCGGGCTGGGTACGTACAGACATGGGGACAGAAAAAGGCGATATTTCTCCAGAGGAGAGCATTACTGGCTGCCTTCAGGTGATTGGATCGCAAGGTGAAGAGAGCACCGGCAAGCTTGTCAATTACAAGGGAGATGTGATTCCTTTTTAAACAGCAGCTTTTTGTCCTTTTTGTATGTATGACTGCTAGTTTTTCTTTGCTCTTAAAATTACTTTTTTTGTTGGGGTGGGGGAGATGAGCTGTATTTTTTAATTTAAAAAAAGTTATTTCTCTCTCTCTCTCTCTCTTTAGTGAGACAGTGGGAAAAAATGCATAGTTTTAAAAGTAAAATTTCATGGGGAGACGTTATAAAGCAACCATAATGCATTTGTCACGAGCCATTTGACCTAGCTCTGAATAGACGAAGCTGCCAATTCCACACTGCCTAATGCGGACAATTACACTAAAGGATAGAAAATACTGAGTTTACTATTATTTAATCATCTTTTCACCACTGGTTTCTTTTTACAACAATTTTTTGTATGCTTCAAACCTTGTTATACAATTCCACCATACCCTTTGATTCACGTCTTCAGACATCCTAACTGCTTTGTGATACTTAATTTTTTTAACTGCAATTGATCTTCTATTATCTCAGTGCAGTATGATGCTGCAGTTTCTGTTACTACTGTTACTACTGTTTCCCTTTTATGGAGAATAGTCACCCTCTGCCTCAGGTCTGCATTTTGTCTCGATTGTGTTGCTTTGAATTGGTTTTTACATCATGTATGGCAGTCTCCTACCTCAGTTCAAAGCAAATAGACTTCATTCACAGCCTTTATGATCTGCTGATAACACACTGAGGGGCATTGTCTCTCATTGTTTGGACCTTGCTGTTAGATGTTTGAAAGTTGATTTACTTTTGTTGAATTTACAGACAAGAATTTACAAGAACTAACCTCATATGATATCTAGTTTGATCTTGCAGGATGTCATATTGCATATATATAAATGTAAGTATATCTAGTCAAGATATATATATCAACTTATTTTCATCAAGTTTTTCCCCCCACTTTTCATGTATACTTACTATGTTTAATGCATTCCAAACTTGTTAGTTTCTATTTTGAAGTACGTGACAAATAGACGGACGGACGGAAGTTGTATTCAGAATAGTCTGTTTTGTTTTCCTGATTTTGAGAGTCAGTCTTGTTAGTGAGTAGACACATGTGGTATTTTTATTTTTATGTCATTTGTTTTTTAAAAATTTGTTTCCATGCATATTAACCCTTCAGGGCAGTGCCACTGACTGTAGTGTCTTTAGGCCATTCCCAAAGGGGGGACATTTCTCTTTCATGCACAGTAGAATTGTAAATGGGCTGATTCATCATGTCACGCTCATAACTGTGCCTGATCTACAACAGGGAACTGCTGCTTTTTCTTTCCTAATTCTTACTATTATCATTTTCCTCTACTTCTTTTGTATGTTTGTCCCACTTTTGTGACCTGCTATTTCCGGGGTGCCCTGATAGTCGAAGCAGACTTTGTGCTGTTGAAGCTAGAGAGGTGAGTAGAGTGAGTCTGATTCCCTGTAAAGACTTCTCTGTTGACACGCACTCCTTGGTGCTCATATGACCTTATGCTGTTGCCAGCGCCGTAAAACCCTCTACAAAAAAAAAAAGAAAGCATATTAGGTTGTAGATTTATATATATGCATCTGTAGGTTTTTGCTCAGATATTTTAAATTATCCTGTGGTCTGTGAACATTTAACATTTGTATTTTTATAAACAGAAAACAAAATTGGATGTTGCAATTTTTGTATTGGTTAGCCTACTATTATTAGATTTTGCAAAAAGTCAGGTGTACATCATATGCTCCCAAGTAATGTCCTGTCATCTGCTTTCGTCTCCACTTTCTGCCCCTATCCCCTCACCTCTTTTGTTTACGGCGCTCGCAACTGCATAGGTCATATGAGCGCGCGGGACACACCTAATATCAGGGGTGTGGATCAGGGGTGTGGCAGAAAGAGAGCAGTAAGGAGAAGCCAAGGAGTAGCAGTAGAAAGGGTGCAGAAAGAGTCAGGAGCCCAGAGGAGGGG